TTATGGTGTTAAGATTCACCAGCGTACAATGTATGTGATGTCGATTTGTTTAACGTCTTTCAAAACGATGTGTATGAATTTGAAACGGAAGGAGAACTGTATTTAATTGGAGACTGGAATAGTAGAGTTGGTACGAAAAAAGATTACATTGTTTGTGATGCATTAAATATTGATATTGATTATGACATGTATGACCCAGATGTACCCCTGTTTCGGGCCTGACTTCACAATACGTGTAACACTTTTGGTCATCGTTTAATTGAATTTTGTAAAAGTACAGGTTTACGTATTATTAACGGTCGAATAGATCACGATCGTAACGGTAATTTTACGTTTATTTCGAGACAGGGGGCGTCTGTTATTGACTACTTACTCACTTTGAATTGTAATTTTTCCAGAATTAGTAATTTTACAGTTCATGATTATACCGTATGGAGTGACCACTGTCCTAATTCTTTTAATTTATTTTGTAATAAATCACAAAATATTGAAAAAAAACCAATGCAAGGAAATCTTTTGCAAATATGTTTGGTCAAATAACCAAAGGGAGGAGTTCAGAGCAAAGTTAATAACTTAACTGCCGGTTTTTGATACGTTGTTAAATAATGTAGATATTTGTAGTAAATTATCTATTAATGCGCTAGTTTCTGATTTTACCTGTCTGATACAAGATGTAGCTAGCCCTTTGTTTTGTAAATCTTATTGTGTAAATAATAGTGTTGATTTTTATAATACATTTAATGATAAAAATAAGGTTTGGTTTGACCAAGAATGTGTGCAGGCAAAACATGCATATTTAAATGCTTTACATAACTTTAACAGAGTAAAAAGTTATGAAAATAGGGATGAGCTTTGTCTTTTAAAAGGCAATTATAAACATACTGTTAGATTAAAACGTCGACGTCATATTGCTTTAAAGGGGCGTTAAATCGAAAAGTTACGTTTTTCCAATCCTAGAGAATTTTGGAAATATTTTAAACATAACACTAGTTCGAAGAATAATATTTCAGTGGATGAATTTTTTGAATACTTTTCGTCTATTGGAAACGACATTTTTCAGTCAACAAATGATGAATCTGAAAATTTTGAAACAATGTATGATTTTAATAATACTGACAATGGTGATGAAATTTTAGATAGGAATTTTACTATTGAAGAAATTACAGCGGCTGTTAAAACATTGAAAAGGAATAAATCTCCTGGGAATGATTTTCTTTTAAAATGAATACTTCATTGAATCTATTGATATATTTGGTTGTCATATTTGCGATATTTTTAATTGTATATTAGATAGTGGTTTTTCCCCGAATCCTGGACTGGGGATGTTATTATCCCACTGCATTAAAAGGGAGACGTAAATAATGTTAATAACTATAGAGGTATTACTCTAGTTAGTTGCTTGTCTAAATTATTTACAACGATTTTAGATAAAAGGATTATGGATTATTGTGAACAAAATAACTTGTCTGATGCACAGTTTGGTTTTCGGAAAGGGAATTCAACTGTAGATGCCCTGTATATTTTATTGTCTGTTAATCAAAAATAACTAAATGAGAAAAAGCGTCTATACTGTGTATTTGTGGATTTCAAAAAGGCCTTTGATAGTATTTACAGAAATGCCCTATGGCTCAAGTTATAAAATATTGGTTTTAGAGGTAAATTACTACGTATTGTTAGAGATATGTACGATAAGGTTAAATCTTGTGTATAACATTGTAATTGTTATTCTGATTTTTTTTAATATGCTGTAGGTCTCCGTCAAGGGGAGGTAATTTCACCGATAATGTTTTCTCTGTTTATTGATGACGTCGAGTTATTCTTAGAGCAGGATATAAACAGTGGACTTCAATTAAATGATATTATACTTATGCTTCTACTTTTTGCTGATAACATGATAATTTTGGGTGATTCACCAGAACAGATTAACAAAAGTTTAAATCTTCTCTATTCATATTGTGAAAAATGGAGTCTGAATCTTAATATTAATAAAACTAAAGCAATGGTTTTTATAAAACGTGGTGGGTTGTTATCTAATGAGGAATTTTTGTATAATGGTGAAAAACTCGAAATTGTTAGTAATTTTAATTACCTTGGAGTTGTTTTTAATTACACGGGTACGTTTGTTTCAAATCAGGAACAGATAATAGGAAAAGCCTTAAAAGCATTAAATGTTCTACTTATAAATTGTAAAAAGCATAAACTTAATCCCAAAATATTATGTCAGTTGTTTGATGCGTTTGTCGGATCTATTCTTTGTTATGCCTCGGAAATTTGGGGAAATAGTAAGTCAAAAGAAATTGAATTCATCTTAAGTTTTGTAAAGGAATACTTAATGTTAAAAATGAATACATGTAATGCGGCAGTTTATGGTGAACTGGCTCGTTATCCTTTATACATTACAAGATATTTACGGATAGTAAAGTTTTGGCTTAAATTATTACAAACAGACAATATCATTCTTAAAGAAATTTATAATATATCTTATGAAGACTGTATAAATGGTAAGAAAAATTGGCTTTCAAGTGTTAAAGATTTATTATCGTCGTATGGTTTTATGTATGTATGGCATAATCAAGAGGTTTTATGTAGTAATTTGTTTTTACTAGAATTCAAACAGTGTTTAATTGATTCCTTTGTACAAAGCTGGCATGCTGATATTGTAAATAGTCCTGTTTTATTGTTATACAAGGAGATAAAAAATGTGTTCCAGTATGAAAAATATCTGGATTTATTACCTAGTAGCCTTAGGCATTATATTAGTAGAAAAAGATTATCAGCACATCCGTTACTTATACAGTCTGGTCGTTATGGTTCAAATAGGATACCAAGAAATGAACGTTTTTGTATATACTTACATGATATTGAAGATGAGTACCACTTTGTTTTGGTTTGCACTTGTTACAATGACCTTAGACAGAAATATATTAAGAAATTTTACTACGTTAGACCTAGTATGTATAAATTTTTAGAATTATTAGATAGTGATAATAAGATTATTTTACGTAACCTTGCTTGTTATATTCGAGAAGCATTGGCTATGAGAATATCAGTTACACATCGTTGAATTCACGGTTAATCCTCTGTGTAACATGGCGTAGATAAATAAGTATTGATTGCATAATGTCTAACTTTAAATATAGATAACATTTTGCTTTGATAATATTTTGATATGTTTTGTATTAACGGAATTATAAATTAAGCAATAAAAACATATGCTTTGCTAACATTTGACTATGATTTTATTATGTAATGTGACTTATACTTAAATATATTTAATTGTTTGTATTGTGTAGACGAAGTATTTTGTACAAGTCTGAAAATAAAGTTTCTGTTCTGTTCTGTTCATAATTTCATTACGTCATTATTTAGAGCGCCTGATGTCACCCACAATAATCAGTCAATACATGACTTTATATTTGAAATTAATAGGAACTTTATTGGTCAAAAAATGTCAAATTATGTTTATTTATAAAAATAACCATGCAGAAAGTAAAAATATCCTTGATAAAAATAATTAAGCTTCACTGAGACATAATCTAAGACAGCCAAACCTTGTCTCAATATATCTGAGAAAACTCTCAAATCTTGAGTTGAGAATTTTCTTAATATTTTTAAGTGATTGCCAAACTGAAAAAAATCTCAATCTAAATGTTTGAGTTGAGAAAAATCTCAGATTTGAGCTGAGATTTTGACTTTGAGAACGTAAGTGAAAGCCGTTGCTTGGTCTCAATATATCTGAGAAAAATCTCAGATATATAGTTTAGATTGTTCTCAATATTTTTAGTTTAAGCCAAACTGAGACCAATTTCAATCTTAATTTCTGATTTGAAAAAAAATCTCTGATTTGAGCTGAGATTTTGACTTTGAGAAAGTTAGTTAAAGCCGAACCTTGTTTATACAAACGAGACGGCTTCTTATAGATGTAAACATTTGTAGGAAGTTTCATTAGAATCCCTCCGTACATGTAGGAGATATGCTCTGCCGAACATCTCCATAATTATTTCATCATCTTTAGTGACCTGGACAATCATCATTAGTGACCTTGACCTTGCATATATTAACCTAAATTACATGTTTCATCCAGTAGTCATGGAAATGACCATTTGTGTTTCAAATCCTCAATAAAAATGGTAACTAAATGGTCAAAATACACATTTTCATATTTTTATCTGAAATTTGACCCCTATATGTGACATTGACCTTGGCCGCAGGGACCATTATATTGCATTCGACACTTCGCCTTGCAATAGTGAACATTTGTGAAAAGTAATATTGAAACCCCTTTATGAGTGTAGAAGTTTTGCTCTGGAAAAAAAGTGTTTTTCAATTACCTCTAAGTTTGTCCTTGATTTTTGACCTGTTTTATGCACGAGGCGCGGTATTTATGGTAGTGACCATTTGTATGAAATTTCATTAGAATCCCGCGGTATGTGTAAAAGATCTGCTCTTGACAAGATCTTTATATTTTATTATCTTTAGTGATATCGACAATCATTTTAAGTGACCTTGGCCTTTCAAATACTAACCTAATTTGCATGTTTTGCGTCAGTTGTCATAAAAATGACCATTTGCGTTTCCATCCCTCAATAAATACTGACTAAATGGTCCCATTACACTTTTTCATATTTTATCTGAGTTTTGACGACTGTGTGTGACCTTGAACTTGACCTCAGGAACCTAAATTTGCAAGGCGACTATCCGTCTTACAATAGTGAACATTTGTGCAAAGTTATATTCAAATACATGTACTTCCATGCATGTTTTGCTCCGGACAAACGTTTTTCTACGACCACCAAGTGTGACCTTTGACCTAGAGATCTGGTTCATGCACGGGACACGGCTTTTTATAGTGGTGAACATTTGTATGAAGTTTCATTTTGATTCCTTTATGGACGTAGAAGATATGCTCCGAACAAAAACGGATGTCCCACAGAGGGGGGGGGGGCTATAATACGACCCATTTATCACGCGGGTGTATCAAAATAATTAAATAAAAATACCATTTGTAAAGTGCAAAGTCAATCACGAAGAAAATTTCAATCTCGTAGTCGGTCGCCTGTCGCTTTTCTCTGGTATTTAGTGTCTGCTCTGAGCGATTCTGCATCTTTCCTTCAGTAATTTTAGCATCTGAAAAAATGGATTGATTAAGCTATAAGGTGTCTGAACAGGATCACTATCCGTAAACAGGCTATAACCATTAATATTATATGTTATTTTGGTTTTGGATTGTTATATGTGGATATACTACCAGTTAAGATTTCAAATCACCCGAGCCGTTACCTTTCCCCTGCCGAGTTTAGACGATATTTTAAAAAATCATTGCTGTTTCAAATGAAACGTCGAAATGAGATTCCCTTTAGGCTACCTCTTCGTCCCATAAGTACATGATGTATTTTTCCCGTACCTAACGAATGTAAACAAGAGAAAAGGAGTGCTCTATTGAACGCATTTTTTTTTGTAATTAATATCAAGCTTTCACAAGGTTATATTTGTTTTCGATACTGATGGTAATATGTATCATTACTCTAATTTGGTAAATATTTATTATTTGACAGTTAAAAAGTGATTTTTAAATCGAAATTTACACCGTTTAAAATGAAACCGTACGCGCATCACCTCTTTGCATGTTGTTTACAACGTTGGGTACCCAACGGGGAAATTTAGTGTGTAAATTACCCGTCTGGCTCAGATATATCAATTTCTTTCGTGTTATCAATATCCAATCAAAAAGGCGGAAAAAATCTGGAAGGGTAATAAACTATTATGTGACCATATACCATTATATAACTATATATCATTACTATTGCGTATTTACAGAATAGCAATATCAGGTCAAATTAGCAATTCAAAGATCTTCTTCACTATTGATATTCCTAACGATTTTATTTTAGAAAATAAAGGGAATCAATATGAACTTTTACATTACTTGAAAAACCTGTGTCCGTTAATTTATATCTTGTTTAAAGTTTTTAATCAGAAAAAAAGTTAATTGCATCGAAGGTAAAGAAATATTTAATGATGGGACACAGCAAACGACCTACACCTAGGCTAAATTTAGAATCGCAAAAATGCCAGATAAGAAAAAAACATATTTACACAGCAACCATTGAATAATAAAAAATGAAATTTGATCAATATTGAAACTTTACTCGAGTCATTTATTTACATGTGAATAAAGGTACTAAAGACTGAGTTATACAACTAAAACCTTACCTGACAATTTAATATTATCAAACGATGTGTTCAGCTTTTCTTCCATCAGCGATACTGTGTAAGTACTTCGGTTATCCCTTGGTGGTTGTACCAAATAATTATGTTGTTTGGATACGAATGTTCCGTACTAGAAAAAAACATCAATCGCTATTATATAACAGATATTTTGAATATATCATAACAAATAAACACAACAAATACAACATTTAATGCTTCTCGTATTTTACAACCACTTAATACGTGTACTCTTCTTTTTGGTAATGTTGCTTATTCCGAAGAAGGCAATTCATTACTATTTTTAAAAGATCAAAGATACATTATGCAAACGGAACGTTTGCGTTAGAATCTGTTCAATGCTTTTGATTTTTGCGCTTCAATATCAAATGCAATTGTAAATTCTTTGTTGAATTATTTAATGCCATTTCTATGTAATCTATAGTACATGTATCATTTTGTCTTTATTGTTTCAGGGACGAACCGAATAACTAATGTTCTATGAATTTATGATCCCATCCTTTTTCTTTCAAAACTTATTTTTATACTTTTTCTATTAATTTACATTGTACATCTCTTGTAATAAAATGAAAGGAACTAAATATGTATAAAGTAAAATAACAAATAATGTTCACCTTCTTATAATAAATAATAAAGCTTGCATCGTCTTCGTAGCAAAAAATTTTTTTTTAACATTTGCTTTCAAGTTTAAATGATGCTAAGACTTTGTTTTTAAAACTGACAAATTAATAAAGAATTGAGATTTGTATAATATTGCATAGGACTGTGGTGGTTTGTTGTGGACGACATTTGTTTGCCACAATTATACAAATTAATCATTACAAAAATTCTTATTTCCGTAACCTGTGAAGAAAATATTTTAAAGAAAAACTTTACAAAATAAACCCCTAACGTAACAGTATGAGGTGTTCAACGTTTATATATTCGTGGGAAGACTCAATTTAATTTAATAACGTTGAAAAGCCAACAAAGCAAGCAGTTAAATCCAAAATATTAATGAAAACACCATATGTACTTCTTTATGGTCTGTAACACCGCACTTTGGGGTAAAACGCACTATTGGATCCGACCCCAAAGTGCGATTTACTTTACAGGCCACTTTTGGGCCAACCCTACTTTGGTACAACTTTGAAGGTGTCGAACTGAATCTGCTTAATAGGATGACCTCCTTTTTCATCTCGAACTAAATATTTTTACTATAGAAACGCATCTGTAATCAAATGCAAAGCGACGTATCAAACGCGCAGTATATAACATAAGTTATAAGCAATTATTTTAGGGCATCTTCGTAAATAATTGTCTATCCTAATTTGAAGTTTATGACAGTTGTAAAACTATTAAAAAACATTAAGTCATTTGATACGACCTTTTGATCTTGTGACCCCAATTTAGGTTTGAAATCTTAAATTCAATATTAGGACAATCATTCTATCTTAGCCTATAAGAAATTTTTATGCTCTGAAAAAACAGACACAAATTTCAGTGGTAATGTCATTGTGACTCTGACCTTTAATCTTATGAACCTAAAATCAAAAGGGGTCATGTATTTGACATGGCTCTTCATCCTATAAAAGTTTACAGCTGTAGGTTGATTAATACTTAAGTTATTAAGCAAAAACCGTTTTCAGTTTTAAGGTTATAATGACCTTGACCTCGTAACCCAATAATTAATATTGACAATCACCCTATGAAGTTTGAATATTGTGGGCCGAATTGAACTTAAGTTATTCTACGAAAACTGTTTTCAGTTTAAAGGTAATAGTTACCTTGACCTTTGACCTGTTCACCCAAAAATCAATAGGGGTCTTTTACCCAATATGGACAATCACACTATGAAGTTTGAATATTGTTGGCCGAATTGAACTTAAGTTATGCTCCAGAAACTGTCTCCAGTTTTAAAGTAAAAGTGACCTTGACTTTTGACCTTGTGAGGCCAAAAAATGATAGGGGTCTTCTACTCAATATTGACAACTTCCCATGAAGTTTGAATATTGTGGGTCGAATTGAACTAACGTTATTCTACGGAAACTGTTTTCAGTTTAAAGGTAATAGTTACCTTGACCTTTGACCTGTTGAACCCAAATCAATAGGAATATTTTACACAATATGGACAAACATCCTATGAAGTTTGAATATTGTTGGCCGAATTGAACTTAAGTTATGCTCCAAAAACTGTCTCCAGTTTTAAAGTAAAAGTGACCTTGACTTTTGACCTTGTGAGGCCTAAAAATTAATAGGGGTCTTCTACTCAATATTGACAATCTCCCTATGAAGTTTGAATATTGTGGGTCGAATTGAACTTACGTTATTCTACGGAAACTGTTTTCAGTTTAAAGGTAATAGTTACCTTGACCTTTAACCTGTTGAACCCAAATCAATAGGGATATTTTACCCAATATGGACAATCATCCTATGAAGTTTGAATATTGTGGTCGAAATTGAACATAAGTTATGCCCCGGAAAGTGTTTTCAGTTTTAAAGTAATAGTGACCTTGACCTTTGATCTTTTGACCCCAAAATCAATTGGGATCTTCTACCAAATATGGATAATTATCCTTTGAAGTTGTGAATTTTGAGGGCCAAGTTGAACTTAATTTATACTCTTGAAACTGTTTTTAGTTTTAAGGTAATAGTAACCTTGAACTTTGATCTTTTGACCCCAAAATCAAAAGGATCTTCTACCCAATATTGACAATAATCCTATGAAGTTTAGATATTGTGGGTGAAATGGAACTTAAGTTATGCTCCGGAATCTTTTATTGATTTTAAGGCAATAGTGACATTGATCTTTGACCTTGTGACCAAAAAATCAATAGGAGTTTTCTACCCATTACGGACAATCACCCTATGATGTTTAAATATTGTGGGCCAAATGAAACTAACGTTATGCTCCGGAAACCAAATTGGCAACGGGCGGACGGACAGACGTGTCAACATTTGGGGTTTATGTGCTTTTCTTTTATCTGTATGTGGCATTTTCCCCCATAAACCAGAAAAATTACCACATTAGCCAGTCGGTTTACAGGATTTCCTTCTTTTTTAACTAAAATATTGGACGGAATGAAGCTCATAGACCATTGGTTGTTCGCCCGGATTGACAGACAGACGGACGGAAGGACGCCAGGGGGTATAACATAGAAAAAAGTTCGGGCATTTATAATGTGTTTGTTGCTTAATTGGTAAGTGTTTTAAGTGTTTTATTTATTTTACCACTTGAAATATCTAAAAGCCTCTTTGTCCTTGACCTTTGACCCACTGACTTCAAAATCAATAGGGGCATATGGTCATTATCAACCTACATGCCAAATATGAAGACTGTTTGTCAAAGGTTTCTTAAGTTGAATGATTGAGATGACAGTCTTTTTGAAGTCAAAGTCCCTGTGATCTTGACCTTTTACCTAGTGACTTCAAAATCAATAGGGGTCATCTACTAATCATGATTAACCTCTATGCCAAATATGAAGATTTTAAGTTTTTGGGCAACATTTTTGTTTAGTCGGGGCCCCTGTGACCTTTATCTTTAACCAAGCGACCTCAAAATCAAAAGGGGTCACCTATTAATCATAGCTAACCTCCATGCCAGATATGAAGACTGTGGGTCAAAGGAATCTTAAGTTATTAGGCAGACAAGCTTTTAAAGTCAATGCCCCTGTGACCTTGACCTTTAACCTGGTGACCTAAAAATCAATAGGGGTCATGTACTTATCATAACTAACCTTCATACCAAATATGAAAACTGTTGGTCAAAGGAATCTTAAGTTATTTGGCTGGCAAGCTTATACCAGTCAAGGCCCCTGTGACATTGACCTTTGACCGGGTGACCTCAAAATCAATAGAGATCATCAACTTATCATGACCAATCTAAATATCAGATATGAAAACTGTTGGTCAAAGGAATCTTAAGTTATAAGCCGGACAAGCTTTTTGAAGTCATGGCCCTTGTGACCTTGACCTTTGACCCACTGATCTCAAAATCAATAGGGTTCATCTATTGATCATGACTAATCTCTTTGCTAAAGATGAAGACTGTGGGTCAAAGGAATTTTAAGTTATTGGGTGGACAAGCTTTTTTAATCCAGACCCGTGACTTTGACCTTTGACCGAGTGACCTCAAAATCAATAGCGATCATGTGCTTATTATGCCTATTTTCCATACTAAATATGAAGACTGTGGGTAAAATGGATCTTATGTTATTGGGCGGACAAGCTTTCTGAAGTCAATGCCCCTTTGACCTTCACCTTTGACCCAGTGACCTCAAAATCAATAGGGATCATTTACTGTTCATGACCAATCTAACTACTAAATATGAAGACTGTGGTTCAAAGAAATTTTTAAGTTATTGAGCGGACAAGGAAAAACCGACGGAAGGCCGCACGAGGAGAAATATGAAGACTGTGGGTAAAATGGATCTTATGTTATTGGGCGGACAAGCTTTTAGAAGTCAATGCCCCTTTGACCTTCACCTTTGATCCAGTGATCTCAAAATCAATAGGGATCATTTACTGTTCATGACCAATCTAACTACTAAATATGAAGACTGTGGGTCGAAGGAATTTTTAAGTTATTGAGCGGATAAGGAAAAACCGATGGAAGGCCGCACGAGGAGACGTCCGGACGGACAAGCTGATTCCAGTATACCCCCTTACAATTCGTTGTGCGGGGGTATTATAATATCATCTCAGTGCATTTTAATTTCTATCAAAATGACTTGTAACAAGTAAGCTAGATATAGAATTTATCATAAAATGAATAAATTACGTGAGGGTTCCATCAAGCCTTTTTCACATCTGTTAATGCCTAAAAGTAAATTTTGGTTTTCATCCCGTAAATCTTCATGATTTTTACGTTTGTCAGGTAATGTTACTTTATTTAAGTAACCACTTTTATAAGTAAATTTTAAATTTTCTTAAATATACTTAAATAATTCTGCAACGACTTATTTTTAATTTGTGGCCATTTTGGACGCTGAGACTGAAAAATGAATTAAAAGTATTGAAGTTTTATGTAAAATTGTAAACGTTGATAAACAGCACGGGACCGTCTCACTTTCTTCAGAATTCATAGATCATAACCGTGTAAATGGGTAAGTGTTTTGTTTTCTAAATAAAACA